CTCCCCATCCCTGCTCCCCCTGCTGCCTCCTGCTCCTGCTCCTCTCCCCATCCCTGCTCCCCCTGCTGCCTCCTGCTCCTCTCCCTCTCTCCATCCTTGCTATCCCCGCTGCATTCTGTTGTAAGTCTAAAGCTACTCTCTATTGCCCCCTTCAGTACCTCATCTCATGTGAAATGTTCATGCACACACAGTAACCTATATACATTCTGTGATATCACAGGATCTTAAACTATAGGTGATAATTCCTGTTTTATATGTTTAGATTGTTGTCTTGTTTATTCAGGTTTATAATCTGTTCTCATTAGTAGTTCAAGTTGAATTTAAGGAAAGTAGCAGACATTGCCCAAACTTACATTAGACACTCTGCCTTGTGTTTACAAAGGATTGTATTTATTTTCCTGATATGGTGTAAAGCAGACAGCGCAGTGAGAGAGCAGCCGTTTATGAAGTGAACATGCTTAGTAACACAACGAGCCTGTTCTTCCACACAGCCAGTCATGTGGCTGCAAAATCATTATCAATAAATAATACATAATAAATACATGCAGCATACAGACTGGGTCAAAAGGTTCAGTTAAGTTTCAGCTCCTGATCCATGTGACTTTAGACATGGTGGATCCAGCATCTCAGAGCCAGCCGGCCTCCTGGGATTCTCATCCGCTGCAGCGTCAAGATGTTCCACAGGATGGTACAGTAAAAAAAAACACCTGGTCAGATCGAAGAGGTCTTGGAGGAAGGAGTTGATCCTACTAGCTGGGTGCACACTACTGACTGTTAGTGCCTTTGTGTACACTGCTACACTGCTACACTGCTACACTGCTACACTGCTAACACTACTGTGCTTGTACTGCGTTCCTATATAACTGCTGTAAGGACAATTTGTTGAATATCTTGAATGTGAGCAGCTGTTTTTCTGAGAGCTGGGTCATATGACCCAGTGGCCACTTCGACAGCCAGACTAACATAAGAAGGAAGCAGCAAGTGTTTTGATCATTACGAATCAGGGCAGGGTTACTGAAAGTCGTGATTTGAGTGTGTAACGTGGTCATAAGAGAAGCCGCCCTGCCAAGCACCACCTGCCAAAACACTTGTCAATTTAATAACAAATTCGGAGTCATGCTTTTTAAATGATGTAAATGTATGATGGAACTCTTCCCAATTCCAGTAGCTATTGGGTTATTAAATCAGCGCACAGATAAGCAATTCTCACATTACAGTCCCGACTTTCATTTCTCAGAAGACAATCTTCATGACAAATTGCTCCCAGAAATGACCATGAACTGGACAGCTGGTTTGTCTAGACTGGATTGACTGGGACAGAGGGGCACCAGCTGCCAGTGCAGTAACTGGTCGTACCCAGGCTGTTGCTTTTACATGCACTGCCATAACCCCCCCCTCCCCCCCACCATGTTCCCCCCACCCGTTATCCCCACAGGGGATGTCACAGCTCACCTGTATTTATGGGGAGGTCACATGTCACGCGTCACCCTATGACCATTCTCTGGGTTAGACCTTTGTGTCTGTGATCAGAAGGTTGCTGGTTCAAATCCCTTCCACAGCTGAATAGTCATGTTGGGCCCTTGAGCAAACCCCTGAAATACTCCTGGGCCCCGGCTAGATGGTCCCCATCAGCTGTGTGTGTTTGTCTCTCAAAGGAGACCAAGATGGCACCTGTGAAGTTAAGCGTCCCGGTTTATTTGGGTTGTATGTTCCACTAATCCTGCTGACAAAACTAACTAAGCATGTGGGGTAATCCATGGTAAAATTTGCCTCTTGGTGAAATGCCTATACTCGACAAATTCCAACACAGGACAAACCTCCCCTGCTTGGTAAATTGCATATGCTAAAAAAATGTTGCTTTTAAATATATTGTCAAAATACCGCATACCCCGCATATATCTCTGCATAGTATGGCAGTATGAAAAGGTTATGATGGGATGAAACATTAGCTAAGTCTTGCTCAGAGTGTGAGGCGCAGCACTGGGCATGGCTGTGAGCCCCAAATCACCATGGCTTCAAGCCCCAAATCACCATGGTTTCAAGCCTGAGAGAATCACGGCTTAGAGCTGCAGAGAATCTCGACTTCGAGCCCCAGAGAATCTCGACTTTGAGCCCCAGAGTATCTCGGCTTCGAGCCCCAGGGATTCTCTGCTTCCAGCCCCAGGGATTCTTGGCTTCCAGCCCCAGAGAATCTCGACTTCTAACCCCAGAGAGTCTCGACTTCGAGCCCCAGAGAGTCTCGACTTCAAGCCCCAGAGAGTCTCGACTTCGAGCCCCAGAGAATCATGGCTTCAAACCCAAGAGAATCTCTGTTTCGAGCCCCAGAGAATCACGACTTCAACCCCCAAATGACCACGGCTTCGAGCCCCAAATGACCACGGCTTCAGGCCCCAAATGACCACGGCTTCAGGCCCCTGAGAATCACAGCTGTGAGCCCTAAAGCATCACAGACTGATGGGGAAGCTGCCAGCAGATCGATCACCCAGCTCTGGGCCTCACAGTGTCTGTTCACACAGGCTTGTTGGCCAGTCCTGTTCTCTCTGGGACTTTTTTCCCGCTTTTGTTTGTGGTAATTTATGTTGCACAGCAAACACTTGTATCCAGTGCAATTGCAACCTTGCCTGGGGGTGCAGCAGCGGTGATTCCTCAGGGCCCTGGTTCATCACGCTGCCTCACACCCCAAGAGCAGCAAGCTCCCTACCTGGGGAAGGTTGCTATGACGACACTCGTTTCGCAATTGTGTGCGTTAGGGAAGGAAAATACCAGGCCCAAACACCACTGATTGTGAGCTCTGTCAGTAAACACTGAAACCTGAGTAATTCATATCATTACATCTCATAAAACATTTATTATGTATTTATCTACTGCTCTATCTGTCTACATCAGATCATAAGATGATTAACGTCATAAATAGTTTATAGCTGGAAACCTTTCTAAATTTGTCTTGCTAATCCTGTGCCTCTCTTATGTACTGTGTAGGTGGGGGTGTGTGTATGTGCTCTGATCCACGCTCGTTCCTGTCCCCCAGTCACCCCCGAGGCCATCGGCTTCCTGTCTGCGGTGGGGGTCTTTGTGGTACTGCTGGCTGTGCTCCTCCTCTTCATCAACCGGAAGCTGTGCTTCTCTCGTGTGGGAGGCCTGCCCTGCCTGGAGCAGCACAGCAAGCGGAGGCGTGGTCAGAAAAAGGGCGGGGTTCACCTGGGCCTGGGTGAGTGACAGGGGCAGAGCTTTTGGTGGGTGGGGTCTGTTGTCATTGAACTTAGTTGGGGGTGCTGCTGCCTGTTCTTCCCCAAAGAAATTTTGAAGCAGAAAGGGCTGTAACTGAAGGTCCAGGAGGGACGTGGCCTCACTCTATCGGGAGGGGGGGGTGATGTTGGGGTTAGGCACTCCTTGGTGGATAGCGCATGGAGTTCAGTCTGTATGAAATTGTCGAGAGTGTCCAGCCTCCAGCCCCCTGCAGCATTTTCAGATGATAGGTGACTGAAATGTGCGTCTTACGACTCGCTGTGTTTGCTGGAGGAGGAAGGGCTGCCCTTCACCCCAAGGTCTCCTCCTCTCTCTGAGGGTACAAACCTTCACCACAGGTTACTCTATGGGGACCTGTAGCCCAGGATCCTGTGAAGTGCTTTGTGTCAATGCTCTTTATTAAAAACACTATGTAAAGTAATAAAACAACTGAAAAAGACAGAGGAGGAGAACTCTTGGTTGTTACCTCTAATTATATTGCATTGTATTGGCCCTTGTTTCATCAGATAGGGCTTTAAACGGCTGTTTTTCCTGGAAATCTTCAGGATGCGCCTGAGATCAAATTTGTCACAATGTTCAACTCTGAAGTCATTCATGAAGAGATTAAAGTGTCTGAATACTGCTGAGGATGTGGAAAGTGCGTCTCGAGGCTTCCGAGAAGAAACCTTTGATAGGAAATCCCATCAACAGAGGCCTTTTCTGGGAGAAAGTGAGGTCATCTGTCTGGTTTTTATTACTCGGGTTAAAGGAAAAGATACAGTGTAGTGTTAAAGCTACCATTAAAAAATATATTTAAAGCCTCTTACCTGGGGGGGTGCATGTAAATGTATGGATTTCTTGTGTTCTCCAAAAAATTGCTGATGTCTTGCTGGATGGCTAGATGAATACCGCTTCAGTGCCCCAACCTCTCCTCTGGGGCACCTTTTTAATTCCACCACCGGCTCACTTAAATAGTTAACTTGATTATGAGGTATTGATTGTCCAAATGAAGTGTGCTAGTAGGTGCGTTTAACAAAGGGCCGTATGGGTACGTAGGTATATGCTGTATGGTATTCGCAAGTACAGGGGTGTCCTGCAGAGTTATTGAAATGGAGAAACTGACATGCTGACAGAGGAAATTATGGTTTTAGAGTAACATAAACACCCTGACATAAACAAGCTTTTCTTTGGTAGCCTGGGTGTTTCCACATAATATCATTATAAAGTGACAGTTGCAATAATGGGGGAAAATAGAAATAATTTAAGTAATTTATCTCACACCGATGTGGGGTGGGTCTGCCTCCGTGGATCACCATACAGTGTGATCAGAAGGTTGCTGGTTTGAATTCCACAACTGGCACAGAAATGTCTCTGTTGGGCCTCTCTCTCTGCTGGGCCCCTAAACGTCATGTTGCTTTGGATAAAAGCCTATGCTAATCAAACACATGTAATGTAAAATGTCTTCCACACACAAACTGAGATTTTAACCAGGGTTTTTTGGTTTGCACTTATGCCTTTGGTATGGGAGATGGATTAGGGCACTTCGTTTATATGCTGACATTTCCTGTAGTAACAGACCACATGAGCAGGCCTTTCCATCACTGCAGACAGAGGAATGGCCTTTCAGAATCTCCTTTGAAATAAGCCCATAATGCTTTGCGCTTTTTAACATGTTAATGATCCGTTAACAGCCATAAGACACATTACTAGCATTTGAAAGCGTCTGATTCCTAACTACATTCAAATAACACTAATCACTCTAATTATTCAAGTATGAATTCAATTGTAAATCTCTTGCTTGATATCCCTTGGGAGGGGGGGGAATCCATGCCCTTCTGCTTAATGGAGCGGCCAGAGAGAAGCTGGTCCGTCTCTCCTGTTCACCTGGCGTGTTTTTATAGCTTCTCGCTTCGCCACATGCCGCGTCTTGTGCGTGACAGCAGGCTCCCGCTCTCCTCTGAAAGCCTCTTCCTTTGTCTCTGTCCTGCCGGGACCTGCATGTACAGTGGACAGCTTCGGGGAGGACGACGACCTCACCACGTCGTCAGACAGCGGCGACGAGGTCATGAAGCAGTTTGAGATCTCAGTGCCGCGCTCCCAGAGTTCACACACGGGTTTGACTGAGACCTGTCCTATGGCCGCCATCGAAACCTGTCCCACGGATTCCTGCCCGCCAGCTGAGCAGAGACGGGGTGGCAGAGAAGCCTCCAACAGCCGAGGTACCACAGGGAGCCTGCTGCCCTGGCTCCGGGCCAGTGGGCCAGTGAGAGGAGGAGCCTTTGTTAGGCTGTGCTGCTGATGAGAGCTCAGCCTGTGTTTCTCAGCCTGTGCTCCTCAGCCTGTGCCCTTCCTCAGCACAGGTGCCCATGTGCTGATTTACCAGCCTTTTAATAAAGTAACAGCAAGCCATGCAGCAATATCAGCAGTGGACCTGAAGCAGGCCAGCGGGTCTGACCGCAAAGATTCTTTTCCTACTTGATTTTATTGCAGAAATACTCTGTTTGGATACTTAAGTTATTCAGCTTTTACAAACAGAGTAAATTTGAGGTAGTGTTCGGGAGTTTAAACATAGCGTGCATATAAAGGCAGTGTAAAGATGGCATATACAGTGTAAAATAAGTGGTATGTGTTTGACAGCTACTACATGCTGTATAAGGGTGTATTTCTGTGTGTATAGGGTACAGGATAGGAGCTGATTAATCCTTCACATGGACAGAGAGCCATGAGGTGTTATGTCTTTCTAATCCTGCAGAGGGTGCCAGAGGCAGACCGAGGCCCCCAGATGGAGAATCCTGCCCAGACAATGAGCCGGGCCCCCTGTGGGCACAGGACCCTGTCGAGGGGCTGGAGCTGGAGGTACGTCGAACCTCAGTGAGGAACCCGGATAGCGGACCTGAATGGCGGGCCTCAGAGGTCGGTCTGGAGATGGAGACGGCTGTGGACAACCTAGGCTACGATCACCGGGAGGTTCCTCAGAACGTTTGGAATGAGGTACGGCAATCATGATGCATGATTTCACATTGGGTTTGTCCAAAGTTGAATACTTGGTTGCTATGTATTAGCAAATGACATATTACGTTTTGCGAAATTCCTAGGTGTGCAACCATTGGACGCTATGCTATCCCACCAGGTCTTGGAGAAGGAAGTGCTCTGTAGAAATTTAAGTAGAAAACAATGCCCAGTTACATAAGTTGACTCAAATGTGTATTTTATTTTGTAATTTTTAGCTTATAATTTTTGTGTAGACTAAGCTACGTCCGGGTCAGATAACATGCAAGACAGCAACCGCTGTGTCCGAATGCATGCATACTGTTTTCATGCATACATGGAGTACTTACTACATTAACAGTTGAGTACTGTAGTAGGCTTCTAACAAAATTCAGTACCTGCTAGGTAAGTATGTGATTTTGGACAAACCCATTGCTTCTGGTTGACGCCATGTTGTTTACAAGGGCTGCTTACAAACAGCTGGTCGCTGTCCTTCAGAGGCATGATGTCCAGAGGGTGCGGTACAAGCCGCCACATGTTCAGCGACCCGTCTCTACCTGCGGTGAGGTCATCACGCTGCTGGAGTATAAAGGGCGAGCGCAGAGGCTGCTGGTGACGGTGATGGAGGTGCAGGGTGTGGAGAACCTGGAGGCTGAGGCCTGGCTGGTACGCCTGGTCCTGCTGCCGAGCCGCCGGAGGCGTCACAAGACCGGTGCCCAGCGGGGGCCGCTGCCCTGCTTCGGGGAGACCTTCCGCTTCTCACACGTGGAGCCCACAGAGCTGGAGCGCTCCGCCCTGCGCCTCCGCCTGTACGCCGTGGGCGGGGCGGCCCGGGAGCGCCTGGTCGGCCAGGGGCTCATGCACCTCTGTGGACTCAAACTGGAAGGGAAGATGGAGGTGTCCCTCACACTGGAGGCCCGCAGCCACATGGAGGTCAGAAGTCATCTTGCACAACTGCCGTTATAACAACAAGACTTAGTAAATAGTGGCTTGTGGTTTACATGACACACATTACACACTGAATATATGGACTGGACACAGACATTAAAAGGGGTGTGGCTAATATAATGTGGGATGGAGACTAATTTCAGGGGGTGGGGCTAATAGACATGATCACCGCAGCACTCAAGGGCCATGATTGGCAGCGGAAGGCATAGGGGTTACAAAAGACTCGTATGAGTGGCAGCAATGCAGCTCTAACTGTAAGTTCCTTTTCCTCAGAGCGTGCCGACCAGGCAGA